AAACAATGAAGACGACCTATGGGAACGTGTGCAGAATGCATGCCAGATGATTCGAGGAAACCCTGGTGTGTACGAACGAATTCGTCAGTCTTGAGTACGTCGTGCTCGTGCATGTGTTGAGAATGGAGGAACAACCTTCGAGCATCTGTTACAAAGAAACATCCCTGTCCTTACACTTGGCAATAAAGGCACGCATTGAAAATTATTTTTTGCTATTATTTCTAAAATGAAACATTTGCGACCCCATGTTCATAGGAACATTTTTTCTTATTTTTAATCCTGGAACACGAACACGAAGTTTGTAAAAATACTTCTGACTCACCCTGTATATATTATTCAAATTCGGAGCTTCAGGCAAGTCACGATTGTCATGGAACACAGTCTGACGTTCAATACCTTGATATAGGTCCAACCCAAATACAATATGAAACTGGATATTACACGGGATGTCCCACGCAACCTAAAGTTGTAAGGTCCGTCCCCACGCCCTGTTTTACACACAACCAAACCCGTTTCAAAACATTCGTACAAACTCTGCGAACAGTGGCGCCATTGATAATAAGTCAGAAAATGGTTGACTTACTTGACGCGCCATTAATAGTAAGTCAGAAAATGGTTGACTTACTTGACAGCATCAAAGATTGCATTTGACAGCAGTAAATTTTCCAGTCTGACTATTAGTGCCTGTTAAACTGTTTCATAAGACTGCGTTCGAAAATAATGTTCACATAACAAACGCTGCATTGTTGAACAAACTCACTAAAGAACAAGGGCAAATCGAAATTTCCCTTTCACACTAACGAAATTTATCTTTAAACTTGGAAACTACGTATAACAAAGACCTAATGCAGTAGAAGAATGACAAAATACTAAATCAACACAAACAAAACAAAATTAGAATTTAATTTTGATTGAGAAACTTGCTGGAAAGTGGCCAATTGGAAGATTAAGAAGGAAATGGGAAGAATGCCTTAAAATGAACCTCTAGAATTTGTCCTACAGAGCAGGGTAAAGAAACAGAACAGGACAGACTCGAAGCTTCTACGTCTAAGGCACGTTTGGGAACCCCTGACTGGCGAGAAGCTAGGGTCCTGGAGAAGATGAACCGGTCTTTAGTCCGCCCAGACTCGGCCCTCAGATCCCGACAACAACAGACCACCATCTCCCAAAACTGTAGCTCGTGTGTCTGTCTGTCTTTCACGTGGTGACAAATTTTGATGCCCATTTCTTACTTCACAGAACTCTATACCTTTAATAACATGATGACTGTAAATCATTATTTCAGAATTTTCTAACGAAACTGTCTTGTCATCGTACCAAATCACGAAGAGCCTCGGTCTCATTAGGCAGACTCCGAGCTGATAAACAAAGTAGGGTAAAACCACTACAAGGGGTTTCTTGGAAACAACTTTGCCATTCTCTTTTTAACCCAGCTCTGTAATTCCAAATATCTCTCAGCGCACAAAATTTCAGGGTTATAATTTTACGGAAGTGCCTATCTTATACATTCGCGCAGAAGCCATGTTAAACATTCTGTAAGGAACAAATACAAGATGGCGATGGAGTGAAAAAATGACGGAGAAAACAGGCACAAATATGCCGAGTCTCAGGACAAGGAAAGTGTTGTACAAAGTCACAAGCATGTTCCTTTGTTTCTAAGTATTCCGAGTAAAGAACAAGGCTTGACATACTTAATGTGTTCCGAGAAGTACAATCTACGAAAGTGTCTGAATCATTGCCTTTAAAATCAAACTTTAAGAGTTCGAACGATCAATAGAAGAAGTGAAGTCTTGACAAACTTCAAGAAGCTAATGTTACCAGATATCTGAAGTCAGCGGCACATATTTCTTAAAATGGCTAACTGGCCATATATGTGAAACACAGAAATGTTAAGATTTTTATGTATTCTTAACACAGTTCAGCATCAAATAACTGCCTTGTAGTTCACTGTTGCAGATAAAACTTTTATTACAAACAACGCACTGATGATGTCACACCGCACAGCCACGACAGCTTCTCTGTACTTAGTTAAATAGTCATCATATCAAGAAATACTTCGAAAAGAGCCAAGCTGGAAATCTTAATGAAATGTAGGCAATGTAATAATTTTTCTTCGACGAACAATTTTTTTATGAATCCCATAAATTTGTTTGGCCTTCATGTAAGTGACCAATACGCACTAAAAACCAAATTTAATTGAAATATGTCGAGTACTTTCAGAAGTTAAACCTGCGGGTGAATACTGGTAACGCAAAATTTCTTTATGGTATACTGTTGACGAAACGTCTACAGCAATATTTGATAAACCCTCAACCCCCACTCAAATTTCCATGTGGATCTTGGCTAGTGAAGATGTGAAATGGTTCAGTCTGACACTGGACCCCTTTATAAGCTCATATTATACAAATAACGCAAACAATTATATAAATTAGTTACCTATTCCTGTACAATACTTCATTTAACAAGTATAGTAGATTGAATAAAAATTTACTTGGATATTATCCATCGTCTAGTAAATATAAAACGTAAAACGACGTTTCGGAGATGGGACTCTATCTCCGTCTTCAGGTTCCTACACAGTTGGGCCCACTAGATAGACCTAATCCCTATCTCCGTCGAATAAAAATTTCCTTGGATATTATCCATCGTCTAGTAAATATAAAACGTAAAAAGACGTTTCGGAGATGGGACTCTATCTCCGTCTTCAGGTTCCTACACATTTTATCCACAGTTTATGTTAGTCGACACGAGCTGGAGCACGTGAGTCGCAAATTCGAGAATGCATCAGGCGTTAACGAAAACGTCTGTGTCTGCATGCTTGCAATTTGCAAGTGGTGAAGGCAATCACGCTATGTGTTCACAACAGCCCGGCTCAGAACTTTGTCTTGAGCCAAATTAATCAGACCACATGCCTGTCCATTTGATTTTCCTTGATTTGAAAGCCCTAATAATATCTTGCGAAATGTCATGCGAACATTTAAAGATTATAAATTAATAACGTAACAGTTTAGTCACGAGGACGATTTTTACAAGGCAGTGTGTATAAAGCACCGAGAACAAAGCTTTCTGAAGCTGGTCATTCGTGAGGTCACATCTCTAACAGCCAGTCTGTAGACAGGCTGACACGGGCCACTTATTTATTAAAAGGCAACACACTCACAAAAAAAGAATAAAAAAAGAACTCGCATAAACCCCGGCGCAACGACCAGGTGGCCTGTGCTGGAACAAGCAACGTGCTGTCTTGCCTGTGGTTGAAATTCACGTTCCAGTAGGCGACCACTTTCCCTCCAAAAACACTTCACATGGCGTGGATCATGAACCGCGAGACTTACAACTAAATTAGCGCGGGTTCCCGTTGTACGTGAAATCATTGTGAAACGTTTTGTCTGCTTCTTATATAACTGTCGTATCTTCGGTTCCATGACAAAAGCCCACATGAAAATTCCGCACAGAAAAAACCCAGTCATAAATGCTCATATGAAAAATGCTCACATTCACAATACTATCAAGTAATACACTCTTAATAAAGCGTTATGTGCATGCTATGAAGTGAAGTTCAAACATACTATACATACTAACCTAACCTACCCTTGGCCAATTTTTTTTTGTAAACTAAAAAATAATGTGAGAATTATTCTATGTGCGTAATTTTCTGTGTGAGCATTTTTCCGTGTGTGAATTTTTTCATGTGAGCAATTTTCCGTGTGGGTATTTTTCATGTGAGCATTTATGGGAGTGGGTTTTTTCTGTGCGGAATTTTCGTGTGGGTTTTCTTCATGTGCGTATTTATCTGGTCACCCTTATCTTCATACAGAGGTAACGGGCTCTTGGAAACGTATTCTATCTCCGGATTCAGTAAGAGGGAAATTTCTTGCCCAACTAAGCGACAATGACGTTCTCAAGATGGACTATTTTCTATGGAGTTCGCCATCACCAGGAACTGTCTGTAATCTAGTAACACGCAGTAGAGAGCCTATAGTTTTCTTCGGCGGGTCTTTTAAAATAATTTAAGAAAAATTAGGTATTACTAGATCTATTTACAATTACAAGCCGATTATGCTTCTCATACAGACGCTAGCCCCTACATCACGCAAACTTGCGTTTGTAGCCGAATTTTATCAGCAAAACATTTCTATTATATATCGCCCCACGTATTTAAGGGGTGTCTGGACGCGCGCTAGTTTCGGTACAATAGGAAACAGCAAAAGGACTGAGGACGTCTAGTGGCGTGAAGATAAATCTCCACTCATTCATCGACCTATTACAGAGGAGAATGAATATGGCCCACAGCTGTTTTGCACAAGGAGTTTTTAGGCAGAAATCGGAAATCGTAATATTTCAATCCTAAAATCGTGTATGGAAACTACCATTTAGTTTCCTGGTTTAACGTGATGTGCTGGTGTACAAGAGGTCAGAAAATCAAATCAGATTGATGTTACTGTTTGCATTTGTAAACATGTCGAAAATTGTCATTTTCAATTTGTATTGTTACCACCTGTTGGGGGAAAATTCCACCATACAAAACAATGGGCGAAATAAATTTATCTCAATAATCAAGCGCTGTGATAAAGCATTTAGCACTCCTAATTCTACTCTTGAGGTTTCCGACTTTAATTACGGTCGGCAAACGGCTGTCCTGACAAGGTTTTCTCCAGTACTCCAACCAACAGTTGGAATAGTGCCTTAAAAAGGCCATGACCTCTTTACATTCCTTTCCGCTGTTTGTAGTAAGGTGATTAATCTATTTTAAGAATTATGTTTGTTGTAAACCCGTAAAGCTTACATAAAATCAGTAGAAGCACGATGTTTTTAGGTCTGCTAGCAGTCCAGCACGTGACTTCCCAGGCCTTATACGTCAGGGGTACTTAACTCTCACGGACAGTGCATTTTCTGTTATGTTGTCACCTGATTTGAAGTAGTTGGGTGGTACGAAAAACCACGCTTTTGTTAATATCGTCAATATTTGGCAGTTAATGCCGACGTGAACAACCCTTCAGGTCAAACCTCTGAAGCCGAAGTTCATTTAAATTCAGAAAACATTACACCGTCTCCATTACAAAAATCAATTTGTTGATAAAGTTTACGGGAACAATAATTTATTCTAACAATCGTATAAAACCCATAAACACAGTCTGTGGGTAAAATGGTTATTAAAGGAAATGGTACATACGGTTACCACTGGGCTTGGAACATAGTTTTTTCTGTTAAGTCTGCAATTAGTTTATCACCTAGTCCTGTCACATAAACCTCATATGCGACAGGCTGATAATTATATCGATTATGTTTCTCGAAAATCCCTTATAACCGGATCGATTCTTTCTGAACGTATCATTATCACGTCATTAGATACCTATATAATCGATACATTTGATAAATCGTCGTTGAATAATCAAAAACACGGACATATTATCTCAATCATCTGCATTTAGAAGAGTTAACGAACAACTAAAACGATTCGATTGTGTCAGAATTCTTTCCGAATCACGATTAATACTGCTCAGTTCAGAACCGATTTGCTTGGATTCATTCTTCCTAACAGTTAGCAATTTTTCTGAGACACGTAAGTTGTCTGTCAGATCCCTGACATTCATCCCGAGGCGAACTAGTGCGTTATTCATGTCCCATATTGTCATGACATTCTTTCACGGTCGATATGTCCCAAATAGCTATCGATACTCGACATGTTATGAAATGGAATGTTGGACTCAATGGGGCACATCTGTGGCTACCAACATCTTAAAAATTATCCGCGTACTCCGAAGGGGGTTGCGAAATACAGAATGGGAATAAATAATACGATTCGAAAATAAAAATAAAACAGTATTTATAACCAACCATGAACACTTTCTGTGTGCATTGATTTGTATGGCCAGAAAACAGGATGATGTCAATTACAGATACCGGTCAGACCTTTGTATTTCATGGGAATGGGAAATACAGAATAATTGCATTCGGAAACATGAATAGGACTCCAAGGTAATAAAATTAAATAGCATGTTCGTGTACCCACAACATCTCGATATCATCTGTTACATGCGATTCCTTTTGTATGCATAAAATAAATCCAATAACTACAAAATAATCGACTATCAAGAGAAAACCATGTGCGTTTCGTAATACTGCCACTAGAGGGAATCCTGAATTTCGGTTAAGGATGTTTAAAAATAAAAAAAATGAGAATATTTACACTCGTGGAAGTCAAAGCAACAGGGTTAAGAACACAGGCACGTAATATTGTTCTGTTGCCAAGTTCGCCGCGGCATTGACAGAAAATGATATTCAAAAATAACTACGAAACAATTCATTTGCACGATAAAATAACGGATAATACTGCACGAAAATCTGCAACGGACGAAAAGCTAAAAGTCCCTAAACTTATCCCGAATTATAATACACGAGGAGCAGACAATGGCAGATCGAAGACGAGATGTTACAATCAGACTGGTTAATTTACTTGTTCGTGGGTTATTTAACGACGCCGTATCGGCGCAGAAACCGAACATTACACCAAAATGGTTAACCTGCTGCTTCGTATTCGGGAGATCCCGGGTTCAATGTCGGCCCAGAAACCGGTTATACCGATTTGAGTATTTTTGGTGGTTTTCCTCAGTCCCTAGAGACAAATATCAGGATAACATCTTGAATCAGGTCACCACAGCTTCCTTCCACCCTTTCCAAATCATTACTCACTAATCACCATATAATTACACACTACGTATATCGGCCGAGTTGCTGACAGCGTCGTTAAATGAGGGGACTGTTCTGTAGGAGCAAAGAACCAGCTGTGACATTTTCTTACCGTCATTTTACCGCGGGGCGAAGTAAATATTAAAAACATCCTAGGACAGTCGACCAACAGCCGAGGTTCGAACGGGGCAACTCTCGAATTAAAATACAGTTTTATTAATGCTGTGGCAACCAGCAGATTTCCTGGAACCACACGAAGAGACGATTTAATCAAATACATGGAACCGTGCCAAGCTGAACTCTGCTTAAAAATACGAACGCGGTTTTCAGTTTCATCGCATTACGACGTTTAGCCCAAATTATTTGCAACATACACTTCAGGGCCACTGCAGGAGGACATAATCCATTCCGTTGTCAGCATAATGCAGTTTACTCGTGTATTTCCTTTGTACTGTGACCACGCCCTCGACCATTGTTAACCCACGTGATGAAAAAAAAAGCTTGACCTCTTTTTGTTACATATATTACCAACGCAACAGCCCTAAAACGAAAAGCGGATTAAATAGCAACTGAAATACAGATATCTGTCCGTGTCAATTGAACCCTGAGGTTAGACACAAAGAACCCAGAACACACGCACACACGTGACTTTTATGCATTTCTCTCATTGACCCTGATGACAAATAAAAAATTCACGACTCCAAAACATTGAAATTTAATTCATCACTGACACAGATGATTACCCAAGGGGATATTATCATATTCACGTGAAAGATTGAAATCTTAACAACTTTTAAACTTGTAAATACTGGTGTACGCATATCAAAAACATGTAATACAAACTTCTACTTTAAACTGATTTTAATGGGGGTAGCCATACTTTTAAAAGACATTCAAAATCCATTATTTTTAAACATTTCTTTACATACCAACATTGCAAATACAACCCCATAGTAACTTCCAACATATATAATTACAGATAGCCTAAAACCAATAAGTAACTAAAGATTGCTGTCTTCTGGGTTGTCATGCTGCGTAGTCTGGTAGAAGTTTACCAACAATCACCCTGAAGATGGAGGCAGTAAGGACCTCTGAAACGTCGGCATACTTCTATCAGACTACACAGCACAACAACCCAGAAGACAGCAATCTTGAGATTCACTGCCATGAAAACCTCAAATCCTATAAAATTAGTTAATTAGATGGCTTAGGGAACCTGAAGGTTCATCACCGAATTAACAAAAGCCCTCAACCGGTCCCTGTCCTGGGCCAGAAAAATCCAATCGACCATCCACTGGGGACATAAGTAACAGGATGCATTCAATGCACAAGGACACCACAGAAATAAATAACACACAAATTTTATCTACATATGATAATCTAATCTTATTTAATTTTTAGGTTGACAGTCCACCCACACAACAAGTTTTATGATTAATCTCGATGTTTATTAAAATCCACTACAGGTTTTGACCTCAACAGATCATCTTCAGTTGGTTCTCTTTAGGTGTTAGAAACTAATAGAAATGAATGCTCAAGGATCCATGCAATTGCTTTACGAGTGTTCGTAACACGTGCGTACCTGGAAGCATACGGAGTTTGACCTAGAACAGAAACACTGCTCTTGGGTATAAAATGGAAGGGAGAAGATACGTTGCATGGCTACTGCATAAAACAAATGGAAGTGGTAGTTTCTAGGCACTTTACCTCTTCATCCTTTCTTCAATTCACTGATGAATGCAGAAAGATACAATCACGTCCAACACATTTTCAAAAAAGGTCAGTAGACTTGTAGGATTTGAGGTTTTCACGGCAGCGAGTCTGAAGATGGCTGTCTTCTGGGTTGTTGCGCTGTGTAGTCTGAGAGGAGTTTACTGACGTCTCAGAGGTCCTTGCTGCTGGATCCATCATCAGGAGGCAGCAAGGACTTCTGAAACGTATGTAAACTTCTATGATACTACACGGCGCAACAACCCAGAAGACAGCCATCTTCTGTGTAGACTTTCATGTTATATTTTGGATAAACCATACTCCATGTAACATAAAACTTTCATCTGTCATTGGAAAGTTCCATGAAATGCAAAATAGGTTGCAAGAATATTCTTTCTAGAGACCGAGACCAATACATCACTTTGCACAGAGAAATATTCCGTTGACATATTCAGGATTTCCTCTAACAGGCAAAGAAATTTGTGTCATTATTTTCTCTGATTTGAGACACTGCGAGACTAGTAGATAACAAAATTTTTTAGAAACTTACAAGGTCACAACCCAGAACGACATTTTTACTGCTGTGAGGATCTCGGATCTCACGAATTGAGCGTGTATGTTCATATTACCAGTCTGTGGACAGCAGATTAACAAAGAAGAAGCTTCCCAAATAGCACCTGAAACTGACAAAGTCGACTTGATAACTATAGAAAAACTAATGGAATTATAAAAATCAAAAGCGAAAAATCAGTGGGGTCAGATGGCATTAACGAACTTTTCAAGTATGCGCCAAAGAGCTTTCTTGTAAAATTCTTAATTTCCTAAACATATGTTGGATATGAGTGGAGAACTGCAGTTATAGTCTCCATATACAAAAAAGGTTACAGGTAGAGCTGGAACAATTACAGGGACACAAGTTTCTTAAATACAGGACACAAAATATATGGTAAAATTATCAGACGTTAGATGGCAACATCTGTGGTGCTACTACTCGAAGAACAAAATGGCTTCAGAAAGCATAGATCGTGCATGGATTGCATATTTTCTGTATCCCAAATCATTTTAAAACACAGAGAATATACCAACATTTATAGCTTTTATCAATTTAGAGAATGTGTTCGATATAGTAAACAGAGTAAAACTGCGAAATCACGCAAAACAAAGTTATACCAAGACATTTAATAAGAACTGTCCAGAGTAATTAAATGTAATGTCCTATGTCACACACCTTGTTTTGTTTATATTTTGATGAAGCTGTAAGAAAATGACAATTGCAACTGAAAAAATATTTTACTGGAGAGACACCCCTAAATAATTAATTTATTTACAGACGATAAAATTGTCCTAGGGAATTCAGAAGAAAATTTACAAAGAACAGTCTTCAGCTTAAATAATTGAGAAAGAATATAATTTACGATTATCTACAATGAAAATTAAAGTCCTCAGGTTCAAAGGAGTAAAACATCTCGGCGCTAAAATAGAAATCAATAACCGAATAGTAGAACATGTAACCTGTTTTAACTACTTAGGATGTAGTATTTCTTACGTTACAAATAAAGACCCGGAAATTAAGTTGGCCAAATTCCTACAGCTACTACGCATAATAAAAAGAAATAGTTCTAAAGTTTTATAAATCACTCGCTGTACCCGTTTTGCTGTATGGTGCAGAAAATTGGTGACTGACAGCACCTCAAAGGAAAAAGATCGAAGGTGCTGAAATGAAGTTATTAAGACCATTAACCGACTATATATTAAAGGACCAAAAACATGACGATACTCTCTCCAAACGTTATGGAAATATTACATACTTATAGAAAAAATTGGCATGACCACTTATTGCATATGGAATCATACAGCACACGCTTTCAATTATATCATCACAGGCCCACAGGCACAAGAAATGTGGGACAGCCGAGGAAGAGATGGAAAGATCAGTTTTAGGAGAATACTGGAGGTCCAATCCATCAAGTGATGATGGTGGTGATGATGTGTTTCTTCCAATTTAGGTTATTGTCAATTTGTAAGCCAAGGAATTTATTTCCTTTACTTCCTCAATTCATTTATCACCAAAACCTATATTTAAACTGGGACATGTATTTTATGTAGTTTGTTCTATCAAAATTTAGTGCTATTTTGTTAGCTTTAAACCATTTGTTTAGGTTGGCAAAGACATCATTCATGATACTTTGATGATAGTCCTGTTTTGGATGTGTAATGATGATACTTCTATTATCAGCAAAGAGAATTCATTTGGACTGAGCATTTATTGTTGATATATTTGTAGAAAAGGGGCCAAGTACCAAACCTTGTGGCACTTCATGATTTACAATGCCCCACTCTGAATAGATATTATGATTGGTATGAGGGGGATTTAATTTTTCTGCCTTCTATTATTTAGGTAAGATTTACACCAATGTCTTGCTATACCTCAAGTTCCATAAAATTTTAGTTTCATCAGTGATAATTCATGGTTCACACAATCAAATGCTTTGGGAAGACCACAAGATATTCCACCCTCATGTGTTCTATTACTAAGGGCACATAAGATTTCATTAGTGAAAATAAATAGAGCTTTTTCTGTCGAGAGATTTTTTCTAAATCCAAATTGATCCTCTGTAAGGACGTCGTCTGAGTGTAAGATATCATTTACTATCTTGCACATAACCTTACAAAAAAATTTTATAAAAAGTTGTCAGCAATGAAAATGGTCTGTACTTAGAGATGCAGGACTTTTCACCCCTTTCAAATAGTGGTTTTAATTTTGAAAATTTACATCTTTCTGGAAAAATTCATACAGCGATTGAATGATTACAAATGTAATTAACAGACCACTTATGTAATCTATGCAAGATTTAAGTAATTTAGATGAAATTTCATTATAACCATTAGAATTTTTTGACTTGAGAGAAATAATTATATTTTTAATTTCATCTGATGTAGCAGGCTTAAGATTTATACTTGGAAATAAGTTTGGAATTGCTTTCATAAAGAAATTCATTGCATTTTTGGCTGCTGGGGTTTATAGTACCATGGTTGTACATTCTTTATAAAATCGTTAAAAACTAGGTATTAAAAGTTAGCTATATGTTTAGGATCATTTAATGTTATTGACAGACTTTCAATGTCCGTAGATTGTTTATCAGTTTCCTCTTGCAACTTTCCATAAAGTTTTAACTTTATTATCAGGTTCTGCTATCAGCTTATTAAAATGAATGCATTTAGCTTCTCTAATGATTTGAGTTAAGATTTTGCAATATTTTCTATAGAGTTTTTTCAGTAGTTGGTTGTTGCTGGTTCTGCTAATTAGGTGATGTACTCGCTTATGATTCTATAATGTTTTGTGGCCTTTAGTTAACCACACATTGATTTCAAAAAACTCTTTCTCTATTTTAATAAAGAAACTTTTTCCAAATATACTTGAAAAAATGTTCAGAAAAGAACTGAACTTTGAATCCACATCACCCGAATAAATAATAATTCTCAATCTTCACTACTGAGATATTTTATAAATTCATTTATAGTGACATCATTTGCTATAATTATCTTATAAATGTGAATGTTAGAGTTTACGTATTTTATAATAGCTGAGCGTCATGACCACTTATCACTGGTTTAATAAATATTTATTACCCGGTCTCTCCCTACTATTTTACATTGTCATCCTTAATCATTTCTTTACTTAATGCTTTTAGATCTACTCCAACATTGTGAAGTGCAGAATCGGGTTTGAATATACTACTGATAGCACACTCGGACCCTACGACTGAGTGAAGCTGGTCACTCAACCCTCTACAATGGCTACTGACTAGAAGCAAAATCTACTTACATTTCGTATTGCTAGGTTTAGGATCCTTGCATTTCTTTAACCAAGCAACAATTTTTTACTCCAACACAGTTAGAGGCTCAAATTTGTTGATCAGTTTTACAAAAACATTTTGATCCTTAATGGAGCAAAGACTTTTGACTCTGGTTCATGTTTTGGCTTTAACATCAGCCCAAGGAAAGGATGAACAGTCGGAGTCACAAACACAACGGGAGCTACAGTCCATGACTGTAATCTTGAGACTTGCAGGGTGAGGGAGGAAAAAGAGCATCTGCCTTTAACGGTACGGACTTCCTGCATTCCTTGCAAGTCTCAAGATTACAGTCATGGACTGTATTTACAGCTTTCAATAAAATAATCTCATTAGGAGTCAAAGCCAGTTCCCTCTATAGATTGAAAATGGGTTCCTTACATTTCCTAATCTGCTTGCATAACATAAAATACCATGGCCTGTCAGCAACTACATAACTATCAGTGGCATAGGCACAATCACAGTCATCACACATTACACCTTCTTTAACCTCTCTCTTCTTCTTCTTCTTCTCTCTTTTTTTTGAGGGGGAGGGGCAAGAACCATATTTGCCAGCTGAACAACCCAGAAGACAGAAATCTTCATACTCACTGCTGTGAAAACCTCAAATCTTACAAAATATATGAAGGTTACAAGAACAGCACAAAAAAAAATTCACAAATAAGCTGAGAATAGGATATTATAATTTTGAACAAGTGCAGAATTTTAGTTAACCGGGTTCACAGATTAATATTATAAACTCAGTAACTAATGAAATTAAAGCACGTATTGTGAATGGTAATAGATGTTACTATGCCTATCACAATTTAATGAAGTCTAGAATTATGGGGAGGCAACTTAAACTGAGAATCTATACAGTTCTGATAAGACCAGTAGTCACATATGGATGTGAGGCCTGGACATTAACTAGCTTTGACGAGCAACAACTTAGAATATTTGAACGTAAAATATTACGGAATATCTGCAGTCCAATACAGAATAATGATAGCTCCTGGAAAATTAGGATGAATCATGAACTATATTGTATCATAAAGGGAGCAGATATCGTGAGGCTGATCAAGAGCAAAAGGTTAGCCTGGCTTGGCCATGTTGCAAGAATGGAAGGAAACAGGGTAACTAGAAGAGTGATGGAATGGAGACTGATGGGAAGAAGGATGAGAGGGAGACCACAGAAACGATGGATAGACGACGTGGATGTGAGGCCGATAGGGAGGGGATGGAGAAGAATTTTGAATGATAGGACAGAATGGAAAATACTCGTCAAACAAGCTAAGACCCACATAGGGTTATAACGCTACAAGAAGAAGAAGAAGAAGAAGAAGAAGCTATTTCTACTCCTGTATGTTGCATCTTATGTGTGTAAAAGACTACAGTCAATAATTTTTGTACAAAAAAACGTGAATAAAATGTACCTTTACCTCAATGTCACTGCACATTTTTCTTCTGAGCTAACTGACAAACACACATTGTTTCCCTGCTTCATCAATCAAGCCTGCTCTTTCAAAGGTCATTGAATGAACTGATGAACATTCAATATAACTCAAGAAACAAACATCATCATCTTTGAAACCATCACCATCTACACAGAATACCTCTATTACTTACATTTGTATGGCAATGAACTGCACATAGATGTGAAAAATTTGTCTGTGTGGTCATAGTGCTTAATATCACATCCACAGACAGACAGAAGAAGATGAAAGAAAAATAAAATTTAAAAAATATTTTATGCTAACAAACATAATGCAGCAAACAGAGTTAAACTACTAATGAGCCTAACAGTGTCCAACAATTCTCTCCATTCTCCCATTAAACCAACTCTCTTAGCTGTAAAATCCTCCTCAGCACTTAATTCTTTCATAACTTAACCCACTAAAAGGGGTAATAATCCGACTCCCATATAAAACAAGAAATCTTACAACATTTTGACACTACACCAAATAGTGATATGGTCCTACCTCAAAAATAACCATGGTCACCATGTTTGTATCATTTGTGATGGGAAGGTAAATATTGCAACAGCTCCAATATCTTAATCATTAGATCAGTTTTCCTGAATACCAACTAGTTAAAAAGTTACTGGAGATATGCATACATCATATTGTGTCAACAATCTAGTAACATGAGTAAAAGGGACACACTTATTTTCCAAATGCATTTTTCACTGTTTTCAATACCCAAGTTACTGAGAATACTTGCCTAATTTCACCAAGAAACTCACTCTGCACTAAGTCAGAAATTATTTTCCCTGCAATTCCTTAAATATTTAAGATATAAAAAAAGTCCACACATACAGCTGTAGATGTTCTGAGATTTACATTTTCTGGAATGAGCAGTTTTTCAAAATCTGAGAAGTTCAGTCATGTAAAATAGAGGTTATAACTAAATGATATGCTCAAAATTAAAGTTTACAGGCAAATCTTAGGGTAAGGCCGCACTGCACGCATTTTGCTTGGAGGTTCGTGGGTAGCGGAATACATAGCGAGTTGCGGGATGCGGGTGACTGTCCGCACCGCACATAGTGGGCAGCGTGCTATTTGCAGTGCATGCAAGCAGGAAGGGTATTTAATGAGACCATACTCAGCAAGAAACCTGGAGGACAAGAAACGTGTCTTAAATTACCGGTTGTCTAGGGCTCGAAGAAGTGTAGAATGTGCTTTTGGAATAATGTGTACTAAATGGAGAATTTTGCTTAAATGTAATGAGACAGATGAATACAATGCAACTTCAATTGTGAAAGCTATATGTATTGTTCATAATTTTGTTCTGGAACATGAAGGACTTGACTCAAGTTACTTACAAGTTACTAACAGTGTGGGATCTGCGCCATGGCAAAATGTTCTGTAACTCCATAATAAAGTATAAATGTAACTAATTCGGAATGTATGTAAATTTTATGCAAACGAACTTGATAATATGGACGCTATTTAATAGCATTTCAACTCAACATCCTTTCCTGTTTCTTCAGCAACTTCTTCCCACTCTCTCCTCAACACCGCAGTATGTTTATGTAAATCATGGTTTGGATCCCACAGTGGCCTTCTACGGGGGACAGTGCTGATCAAAACGTCTTCCATTGTCGTAGTTGCACTCAAGATAAGTTACTCAAGGCTACACACTGCTGATTATGATTGTATCCCGCTAGGTAGTGGGCGATTTTAACCGACATGTTCGTTCTGCTAGCGGGGAGGGTAGAGGTTAGCTTCGAGGTAGGCGGGTCAGTGCGGCCACCTACGTAAGGTTTCTGTTGTTGGTTACAATCGCGTTCCTGCCAAGCGGCTCATTACCCTCCAACCTCCAAGGAAAACGCATGCAGTGCGGCCATACCCTTAGTGTGGACAACCAATGCCAAAACTGACTGAAATTCAAAAGACATGCAACATCCCCATTATATGTTCATTTTACATATTTTGTAAAAAAAATGCATAAGAAAACACAAAGCCCAACTCTGGTAACATCAAACCCAACAATGGATATGATTCTTAGCCAGATTAATACAAACTGTACATTTACAATCCACTTCCATTAGATCCACCGTAATTCTTATTATTACATTTTTATATTTTCAGTGATTCTGACACCAAAATTTGGCACAAACTTCTCGTTTTGCACATTTCAGTCTCATGTTTAGCTAATCACACCTTTAGCCTGGCTATAACAAGCCACTTTTTATGGAATATGGGCAGTAAGTCAAACTCTTGGCTTTTTGCAAGATATATTTAAAAACATCTCCAACAGACTAAAATAAAAAAATTATGGTCCTCAGAATTATGATACTTGGAGTGATTACTATACTTCAGTTTCTCTTTTTAAACAAATCAAATGAACAACTGGCTCACCTCTATTCAAAACCATAAATACTGCAGTCTCTTGTATCAGCCATGGTACAACTTCTGCTTAGTTGTGAACACCGTCTGAAGGACAACGGAGCCTCTTCAAAGACTAGATGAGGACTTTGACTTGCCTTTCACAGCTGCTTCTCTAAGGAATGGCTGATGCAGAACCTTGTGCAGTCTATTAGCCTTCTGGGGGCCCAGACCAGGGCAGAGTCCTAGGGTCTCAGGAGTTGCTCGCAGGATTTTCTCAAGTGAACCAAACGTCGTAAGAAGAGTTGTTGCATCTGTACGGTTGATGGAACGAATAGTTGTCAATGCACTCATCAGCTGCAACAAATAGTTATCTGCCAAATGTATCCGCTTGGAGCCAAGAAACTTTCACAATCAGATACACAAACAGCATAAGTATATTCACCATTGAGCCACCTGACACGGCTTGTAACCTGAGAATCCTTAATCAACTTCAGTCGTCGCAAAAGCTTCACTTTATGCAGCATAAGTGAGTTTTGACCTTTTCACTGTATAAAGCAACTTTAGTAAATGTTCTATGAGGGAAAAAAATTGCTGTTTTCTATCTTCTGGGCTGAATAAAATATTATTCTGAATGGAACGGTACAAGTATCAAACAGAAGTCTTTCAAGATAATAATTAGCTGTTCGCAGAATTAAAGAACGCATATGAATCAATTATGAGAGACGTAATGTACGACATTTTCATTGATTTTGATATTTCTATTAAACTAAAATGTGTTTAAACAATAATTACAACAAAGTCCACACAGACGAAAACTGATGCATTTTGTATCCATAGTAATCTGAACAAAATGTTTTAACCCCATTGCCTTTATGCTTTACTTTAGAATATGCCACTAAAAAGGTTCAAGGAAAAAAGAGGGACTGGAACTAAATGGGATACATCAGCCGCAAGTCTACACTTGTCCCAACTAATTCAATGGGGAAGAAACAAGAAGACAATAACGCAAAATACAAGAAGTCTACTGTATGCAACTAAGGAGCTAAGTTTAAAAGTAAGTGTAGGAAAACTAATAACACACACATTCAAGTCTCATCACCAGAACGCCAAACAAAACTATAAAACAAAACAGGTAATAAATCTTAAGAAACTAAAGCAAACTTAAAATATTTGGGAATGAGAGAGAATGTATTTGAATGGATCAGGATGAGGTCTGATGGTAGGATCTTTTAAACATGTTCAAGTTTCATGGATAGCTGGGAATTTCATGATGGGCAGACTATTAGATTCTCATGCACTCTCTTCTGTGTAGTTAATACCTTTTGATATGGACTACTTTCTTGCTTCTCCATTATCATGTCTGGTGGCTTATTTTCAAAAATTTTGTATGTTTCTATTATGCGCCCTGCCTCCTCAGCACTCCAAGCCAACATCAGTGTTACATCCGTCAGAATGCTGATTCTTGTTAGGTTCTTTAGCGCATGGTGTGGATCCTTTGTGTCTACCTACAAAGAAATGCAAACTACCATAAAATACTATAGAGACAACCATAATTAATCATTCAGGCAACTAATACTGTGATAGTAGAATTTGACTTGGTTTAATATTGTTAATGACAAAGCTTCTCAGTGGAGACATGGTTCTGAGCTACTTCACATCCTCACAACCTACTCAACTTTACCCAAGAACCAATTTACTACAAGTACATATTTCCTTTTTATATTATAACTGGCCACTTTCTAAGAGGTTATTCAAACAAAATTCTGTACGCTTTTCTTATTATATGTTAGTACTTAAAACACCAACTCCTTGTAACACATTTTTTACGCAGAATTATTATATACAGGCCTGACAGTGTCTGCTCAGACATTTAAACTGCTGGTTACAATTAGTATGGTGTGAATTTTATATCAAAATATGATGCTTTCTAATGTTCATTATATACAAATACTTCTTCTATCATAATAAATAAATATATATATCAAGTGATGTAGGTATACCTCCCTTTAGAAAAGATACAAATACATACATGTATTATCTCAGGCAATCAACAGTAACCTAATTACTACTTATTCACAAATCTATAGAAAATAAAACATAACGTTCTGGAGATAGACTCCAAACTCAAAAACGTCATGTTTTATTGGTTTTGTTTAGTCTTGAATGATGGATAATGTCCAGAAAATAGTTTGCATCAACAACATACCATCGTGACAAACTTTCAGAATTGAACAATGTTCTCTGTCAGACTCTGTATGACATCAAAAGGATGACAGGTTCAATTTGGAAATGAGACAGTCATTCCATTTAATATGCTCATAACTTGAAGTGGGGAGGTAGGAAAAAGAAGATACGTTAGAGCTAGCAAGTGGTACCTGTACTAAGAGCACCCGCAGTTCATACTGCTTCCCAAGCTGCTTCAATCGTTCATTTATATAATCAGGATTGAGGTTATGATATCGCAGGCTGAGAAATAAGGCGCACGTTGTTCTTCCCATAACATAATCTGGAGTAATCTCTTCATATTCCCAAGGCACATTGAGGATTGACTTCAGAAGTGGATTGCCTCTCTGAACATAAATGTGACTTAAATTAGGCAAGTCAGGAAGAGAAGATCTCTTATGTACAAACATCTTTGTATTTATATAAATTCAATTATGGATTTTGTGCCTATTTATGTAGGTATGAAATCTGTCCATTTCCTTACACTACTTCACAGATTTCCATTCATACTCTTTATACTTTGCAACACAACACACAGAGGCATGCAAATGTAGTCATGAGTTTGTGAGATAACTGCAAATAAGATCATGGACTCGCATGGAGTGTGGAGTCGGTACTAAAACATCCGACTCCTTCATAAAAGCTCAATATGTATTAATAATGGTAAACCTACTAAAATGGTAAATGGTACCATAAGAAATTTCATCACCACCACGTGAATTATCAGACTACTTTTAGACTTTTCTTGTAAAATGTAGCAGTTAACCAGAATAGTCTCTTACAAAACATCTCTAAGTTACGGGAGTTCAGAGTTGAAAATATGAGTGTTCAGATAGTTATAGAAATATGAAACGTCTCATCACACTGCCCAAAGGGAAAAAAATGAAATAATGTAAGTTTAATTATTTATATACAGGCATAGAGCATTGTGTTCCAACTACAAGGAGTAGGTTCTGTTTATAAGAGATAATTTAATCACATTTCTTACTTCCATGCCTTTTGTCTGCAGAATGAGAAATGTATAAGCTTCAAATGTGATAAGACAAATAAAAAAAAATATATAGCACTAAAAGAAGGTAAGAGGTGACTGGATTTCAGGGGGATTAATCCTGCAAAGAAATGCATAAAACTATTGGTTGGCAGACCTCAACCTAAAGCAATAAAGAAATAAGCAGCAACCTTAAGTTATCTCTGAGCCCATGCATCAGGCCATTAAAGAATTAGGATGACTGGAGGAAATCCTCAATATGGCAAGAAAATATTAAGATTAATCTTGAAGAACTAAACTCTGGGGATGTGAAACTGGGCTGGACTGAACTGGCTCACAGCAGGGTGTAATGGCAGGCTTTCCCAACAGAAAATACACAAGCAAATATCACGCAGTGGTGGAATGATGTTAAAAGAGGAAAATCAAAGGATACAGAAAAATACCTATTCCAGTGCCACTTTGTCCATCACAAATCCCAAATGAACTGCCCTTCGCACAAACCTGAACCACACATGCACCAGTCATTACAATTGAAAATTCACCTGTCGTGGACTGACTAGTATTGGGTTGGATTTACTGACACTAGGTCTAACTGCCTTAGATGACCCGCTGGTACTCGCTTTACTATTGCAATTTTCAACAGGTTCCTTGTAAAATTCCGAATTTTTTAGGCTGCCAAATGCATCTAGAAGAAAAATGTTAAAACAAACATCGATCCATTATATGTAATTAAGACTAAATACTGTTCTTGGAAAATTACAACATGATTACTTACCCAATCTGCAATTCCTTTAAATTAAACTACTGTCATGGAAAACCTAACTTCATACTTCCCCTACATTCTATAAAGTGCACACACACAAAAAAGAAAATGTATGTTATTCGTCCTAGATTAGATACGACTGAATATCTTACAACACCTTGACAACATACCAGTAAATGACGTCGGCTTCGTTATACGATCATCAACATTTTCATCACATTTTTCAATAACAGGATCATCTTCATAACCCAACATGTTCCAACACGCACTTTGCGGAAATGTACAGTATGCTTTTTTTCTCACTACCAGAGATTATTCAAGCAATTCAAAAGCCAAGCGAGCCTTTCAAGTAGTGGCTATCTTTGTGATGGTAAATAACATGCACAACAACACAGGCAATTGCTTCGAAACCCCCTTTAAATATCACATTTCAGTCAAACGCCGTACAATCGACCGCATCTAACTGCCGTAAGCACAGCTACAAGATAGCGAAGGTAAATAACAGCAAAATCTCGAAATCCGTTATATTGCAGTCAGTCTTGACGATTCCATGCTAGGAAATTATATTTGGAAACATGACCGATACTATAGAGGAAACTAGTGACCACCAACGGATGCAATGCCAGAAAAATGTTATTTCAAAAGTAACGTAATGAATGTTCATGAGTTACTAGTAATTTCCTCTGAATATTAATCATGAAATCAACAACTCAATGACACAACAACGTAAGCAAACTGTTGTTCTGCCATGACCATATACATAAACTTATTGTCTTAATTGTGAGGTTAAAACATTTAAGACTAGGTTGCAAAAGATATTCGAAAGAATTTCTTTCTAAGACATTTCCACGCTCACTACAACCGCCTATGGGTCGAACTTGTCTCGGTTTCATCAGGCTCACATCAAACTGGTCACTGCTTCTGCGTTGGGATATTACACATTACAAATGGGCAAGGGTACGTCACATGGTATAACAATAAAGTACACAGGGCGCACACCCTAGTGGACCACTGGGTACCATATGACAGCATGGTTGACCCTCTAACGAGGGTTGCTCTCCCGAATACACAGCCTGGATGCTATAAATGGAGAATGCTCTCAGAGAGAAAGTCACAGTCCAGGGGTACCTGGAGTAACATGTATATATGACTGATGCTAGCACTTCTTTGCAGCATTTCATTCTGAGGCAGACATCTCCTTGCCAGAATCTCCAAAGTACGTTCACTGGAGATCAGCCCCTTGAGATGATGTACTTTACTCCATCTCACAGCAGCCACTGCAAGGGCTGCATACCTTTCCCCATCTTTGACTTCCTCTTGGGCATTTTCCTTTTACTTTCATTCTATCTTTATGTTCAAAACCTTATTTGGGAGTCTCCATTCTTAAAATGTGTCCATAAAATCTTTTTTTTTTTATTAATTTACCTTCCAGATTCTAGGTTTTCATTTATTTTGTTTTATCCTTCTATACTTCTTAAAACACCTTTACTGCCTTAAGTCTACTACCTGCCTTCATCCATGTCCAAGTTCCCAATCCAGTATTAATATGTATATGTAGAACCTTTGAAACTTACATTTGTCTTCTTAAGCTTGTCCTATTTTCAGATTATGTACCCAACTAAACGGAAATTTTTTTTCTACTAATCGATTTCTGTTTATTTCTAATTGCAAACAAGATGAACCAACACTGTTTCAAGCAGATACACAAATCATAAATAATTTGCTGCACAACACATTCCAAATTAAATGGATACATACAGATAAGAGTTCACTGAAATATACTTCATGATATTCATTGTTATGATATCAAGCACCTGTAATATATCAAACCACTGCCATCATAATACAGTAAGTACATATCCACTGACCAACTGCATTACCTTGAGTGTACAAAATCTGCAGATACTTGAACATAGGATGTACTGATTCAGTGGTTTCTGGAACATATAACAAATGGCAGAATTATGGGATCTGAATACAGCACTTTCATAAAATTTAATTGAAGTGGTGTATACTGACATAGGTGAATTATTTGAAGAAAGTCATCCAAATTTATAAGTGATTCACATTCCATTATAGATACAAATTACACTTTACATACATTATCAACACTCACCAAAGGAACAATGTAATAAAATAAGACTGTTCACTTGTCAGCTACTGTACACTTTTAGAATAACTTAGATGGTCAGACTGGTTGCTGTATGTTATCACTTGAAAATGCAGTGCTGCAGTAAGAGGCCCACAAAAACACAAGCATTTTATATTAAAGGTAAATTACACCACCCCCTCTTAGTGCCCAAGGCCTTGCATGCATTGCTCCTTTCAAACCTCATTTTGCTCTCTAGGCAAGATATTCTCCACTTGACAAAAACTACTTCTGTAGTTCTAAAACCTACAATGCAATTGAAGAAGATACCATTAATGCTGTGCTCTTTTCTTCTTTCCTTGATATTATACTGCAGCTGGCCCACCAATTACATGTTGTCTTTACATTTTTCACAGTGAGTTAGTTGATCATGACATACCTACCAAATGCTGCAGACAATTGGTTAGTATTCTTGCTAATGTATTCAAGAGGTCCTGGGTTCAAATCTAGGCAAATGCGAGGTTAGCAGGTCAGGCCATGACCACTTTCTTCCATATCCCAATTCATTAACCAACCTATAATCTAATACTACATAGTCTGAACTACTGACATTGTCTTTAAATAATTTATGTTCAAAACGTATCGTATATAGCTGAAATAATGGGTATGTATGTTCACTTATAGCTCGAGAAAGGACAAACCAATCTGCATCAAAACTGGCATGCTTATTCCTTGAGACTAGGAAGAGAACACAGGAGGGTAAAACTCCAGAAAAGTGATGTCTGATTCTTGGTGAGGGCAACATACATTAGGAAATGGTATGTCATGGAAGCCATGCGAGGTATTGCTGTAGTTTGCAAATCTGCCACATCTTCAGTTATTAAGAACAGTTTTTATAAATGCTGCTTTGGCAACAAAGATGCTGCTGTCACTGAAGATGACCGAGATAACAGTGACTAGGTGGAAATGTAAGGTCATGTAGGTTGCCAGGGACTTTGATTAGTTTTTAAATGTAGAACAGTTTATCCCAACTACTGAAGAAAATACAGCAACAAGTTTGGATGTCCCTGCTGCTTCCAGTGCGCCCAACTCAGAAAGATGCTTCTGTGACACTATCAGCATTTGACAAAGAAATTAGTACAAGTGATGCTGATTGTGAAGATGGAAGACTTACAAGCCATCTTCGAAGCAAAGATCAACAATAACATTTTAACAAACAATAACCCAATATTAAGTTTTGACAAGTTGTTCACAGACTTGCTTTTATGTTTTTAAGTCTGTTAAATTTAAGCAGTGGTTGTAATAAAATCTCTTTTGACCTATTTTACTTGGTAAGTAAAGTAAAGCTGTCCGGCTATACGCCATGTAGGTGCTT